TGGGCTCAAGCATAACAATGATTGTGAGGATGGCACAGGACCGGGCAGTTTTGTTCTGACGTACACAGGGTCACTATGAGTCGGAACTGACTTGATGGCACCTCACAACAACAACGACTTTATTCTTGTTACGATTGTAAGAAATACAATGATATTTTCATTACAAACCTACACAGAGGAAGCTTTACCTGATCACTTCAGATACTTTTGAAGAATATCAGCATTTAACTTCTCTGACATTTTATTTTTATTTAGATGTCCTCGATGTCTGGACACCATATCAAATTGAGAGGTGGAGTACATATACAACATCTAAGAAGTGTTTTATGATCTCAGGAGAATTTCGTTCTTCTTAAACATTACTTCATCTGATACACATAAAAACGATGTTATGCTTTCATAGCACCTAATTTTTTTTAAATCTTAAAAAGATTTAATGTTCAGAATAATCATATATGGTAAGTTTATACCATATTGCACGAGCAATCTTGTTTTAATAATTTTAGGAATTACTTTTAATTCATAATTTCTATATTTGTAATTTTTTTTATATCACCAATCTGAAATAAACTGAAAATACATTCAGTAGACCAAAAGTTAGATGTAGATCTTTTCAGCTGGAGTGGGAGAAAAGTAGTAGCCCTGAAGAGAGATGAATAAATCTGCAAAGGTGTGTTTCACTTTCACGGTTGGAAGGGCTGAAATGTAGCTACGTGGGCAGTCCACGTGAGGGAGTGGTTTTTGAACATAATGGTAATTCCCTGGTAGATTTATATGGAACTACAGTCAACTCTTGGTAAACTGCTTGAATCATCAGTGGCCACATTTTAACCCCAGGTTAATTTCCTCCTGCTGCCCAGCCTGGTACTAGTTGGTACGTAGGCAGGGAACACAAAATAATGTTAATGCTAGCGGAAGCAAATCTTATTACATCATTGCTGCAGTAATAATTGATCTTGCAAAATACATCTCCAAAACAAAATGAAATTCTTTTTATCTGAGTTTTACTGATAATTTCAGAGCTCAAGGGAAAAATCAGCCCAGCAACTTTCATTTAGGTTAAC